TTAATCGTTGGCCTCACCCCCTCCTTACTCACTTTGCTCTGTTCCCAAGCACTCCAACATCACAGGTGCCATGGAGGAATCACAGGATGACTGTGGAGGGATGGCAGGATGCTCCATGTCCTGGGGCTGGTGACAGCAGGACAGATGTGCAGTGGCTGGACCGTGCCCCCTGTCTGCTCCTGGGAGCTGTGTCCCCCCCTGCACTGCCTGTGGTGGGAGTTGTCACTCCTTCGTTTCTTTCCTCTCCATTTTGTCCATTAGGAGAAATTATATCTTAAATCTAATTAGTTTTTGCTCCCGGAGAAATTGGATCTGGAGCTTGGAGGAGCTCTCTGTGGTGGGTGTGCAGCTGAAGCTGTGGAGGTGCTGCGCAGACGCTGCTTGTTTTTGGAACAGTTTTGTTATGTGCAAGACTGAGGAGCCAAAAATAAAGCATCTGCTGCCTCCGAGGGCACTGCGAGAATTCGTCGGTGCCCACCCTGCTGTGCCAGGCCAGCTGAACTGGTGTGCAGAACAACGAGCTGTGGGTGCATCCCACTCTGAGCCAGGAGGGTTCAGGGCCCTGGCAGCTCATCTGGGCTGCCCCAGGTGATTCCGGAGCTGATTTAGGGTTCCTGTGGCACTTTCATCTCAGGAATGACCACGGGATTTATCTTGAGTGCAGATGCTGGCACAGTGCTGGCCACCGGCCCTGCCACCCCTGCCCAGGATGAGCAGAAGGGCCCTGAGGGCCGGGGAGGTTGTTGGCACTTTGTGACATGCTGGGCAGGTTTCTGCTACAGAAACCTTCTCATCCTGACACCAGCTTGGGCAGTGCCAGACCTGTCTGAGCTGAGGGACAGCCAAGTGGATCAGTGACTCTCACATGTGGGCAGACAGGACAGCACTATCAATCTCTCCATGAGTTGTAGGGATTTGAGTCTGATGAGAGCTTAAAAGCCAGCTCCAGATAGAGGATCCAGGCCTTGGGAAGGTGCCTTGGCCTCGGTGTGTCCAGCCTGAGCCCCAGCTGTGGCTCTGTGGTTGCTTGTGCAGCCCTGCTGCTGGAAGGAGGGATATTGCCACTGGAAGGAGGGATATTGCCACTGGAAGGAGGGATATTGCCAGCCTGAGGAGCCCAGCTGAGCCCTTTTAATTCAGCCATGGTGTGTTGGACTCCTGCAGCCCCGAGGTGCCTTGAGTCTTCCCTATTTATAGGCCATCTGTGTGCAGAATTGGGCAAACTGGCATCAGCTGAGTGGTGGGGGAGAGCTGTGCCACTGGAGGCTTCCCTGGGAGTTTCCCTCACACCCTGCTGGGGCCACTGCCCCATCCCCTGGGAGCTGGTCCATGGGGACGGTCACTCCATCCAGGTGGGCATTGCAGGGCCAAAGGCTGTGCCTTGAGGTGGGAATTCTCCTCAGTGGCTTCATGTCCACCTGTCCCAGAGCTTCCAATGGCCCTGGGCACTCTCTCTTGCCATTCTCTCCCTGCCAGCTCAGGGCTGAGGTTGCTTCTCCCCATGTGCTGCAGCTCCCACCAAGCTCTGGGCTGCTTGTCTTGTTGGCAGGGCTGCTTCTCCCCAGGAAACTTTAATTTCTAGAGTTGCCAAGTAAGAAGCAAATGTACCTTGGAGCTCTCTGGGGGAGGCACAGGTCCAATTCTCAGGATTTTCCAGTGTTTTGCCAAGTTTCTGGGCAGTAGAGTTCCCCCAGGCTGCTCTCCCTTTGCAGTGACTCCATCCTTTCACTCCAGTTCATGGCTGTGCTGTGGCTCTGTGGTGATGTGGGCAGCAGATCAGGCAGGTACCCAGCACACTTTGAGCTGATTTCATTGCTGTGGAGGAGCTAATGACAGCTTTTCCAAACCAGGAAACCTGGCCAGGAGGCAGCAGCCTCCATGGGAAACCCTCTGGGGTCCTGCAGGTTGGTGATGTGGTTCTATGGCAGATGCTGTGCTGGACAATGTGTGGGTGATGTGCAGCCTCTGGGCCCTGTGCTTTGGCTGAGCATTAAAGCAAGTTCTTCCTGACCAGCCATGGCCCTTGGCCAGGCTGGCACTGCCTGGCTGGGTGTTAATCCATGTGATGTCTTTGCTCTCGTCCTTCACCTCGACGCAGCTGTTACCAGCCCTGTGCTCTGCATTAGAGGAATGAGGCAGTGAGGAGGTGGTGAGAGACAGGAAGGGAACATGTATCCTGCATCCTATCCCACCTCTGCCCATGAGAGACGTGGCATCCCCTGGAGCTGAGCCCACCACTTTCCCTCAGGGCTGTCTCCAGGGCCTGCACTGGGCAGAGCAAGTAGCCCACCTGGCTCCTTGTCATCAGGCAGTGACTGCTCAGAGCTGGGCACATCAACATGAGGGTTTGTAAATTTGTACTACTTGAGCCCTTGTTCTCCCTTCCTGGAAGCAAGGCAGTGTCAGCCCAGAGTGAGGAGCCAACAGGTAGGAAGGGCTGGCAAGGAGGTGTCGTGGGTCACCCTTGGTGGTAGTGATGCTCTGTCACCCCAAAACGTGTAATGGTGGCTGGAAACTGGCTGTGGATCCTTCCCAGAGCTGGGGAAGGTGGGGAGGGTGACTGATCCTGAAATTCTGAGATCCTGAGAGCCCTGAGCATACAATGGCAGAGCTCAGCCCTCATGTGCAGCTCTGAGCTACCACGGGGCATAGACGAGGCTCAGGTTGTTCTTGTGACACAAAACAGCAGCTTCTCAGGGGTTTGGGGGCATGAACAGGTCGTAACTGTCAAGACCAGCCTCACACAGGAGGCTCCCTGTGCCTGTGGATCTGTGCCATTCCTCCACCCCGAGGTGCCCTGGACTCATCTTGGAGGATGCTGTTGTCCCTTTCAGCATGACTGGCTGCAGGCAGCGTGGCACAGGGGAGCACTGCACCAGACCCCAGCCCTACCCTGCTGGTTTTGGGTTCATTGGGCTTGGTGAAGTCACTTCATGAGCTCCTCCTGCCCAACTGCCCCATTTGCTCCTCATCGCACTGTTGAGGTGTCACCTGCCCTCTCTGCAGGTGAGCTGCTCACCTGCCCATCCCACTGGGCAGTCCCAGTGCCTTGCCCAGCATCTCCATCTGTTCAGGTGTAATTCCACGTGTCCCATGTGGCTGTTAGCCTGAGGAACACACCGCAGTTGATGTGGGGATCAGTGCCATCCATGGAGTGATCAGCATCTCTGCACTGTAGCAGTGTGGAGCATGTCTGTGGGGATGAATTGCTCCTGTAGGAGCCATGGAGGTCCCGTCCCAGGGACACAAAGGGCTGTGCCACAGGGGGAGGGACAGAGCTTGGCTTCTGTTACACAGCAGCAGGGCCAAAACTTGGGCAGCCCAGCTGAGCCTGTTGTCCTCGTGGCCTCGAACTGGCCTAGGATGGGGTTTGCCAAGAGCATCCCTGCTTGTGGCTTGCTGCTCTCCATCCTTCCTCCTTCACAGCCACCAGCTGGATGCTGCTGGCTGCCCAGCAGGAACGAGCAGCATGACCAGAACGAACAGATGGGCTTTCCTGGGTGAGCTGAGCCAAGCTGGCAGCTCAGTCCCCTTAAAAAGAGGGGTGTCAAAGCTGAGCAGTGAGAGGGCAGCCCCTTGATCTGCCCGGTGTGCTCTTAGGGCTGGAAGCTTTGCTCCATTGCACTCATGGGAGATGCCATGGAACCAGCAGAGCCCTGTGGTGGGACTATGGGACTCCTGTTGGGGACAGAAGACTCCCCCTGACCCGTGTTGTGTCATTGCAGCTGGCAGGACCACCACCAGCGAGGAGCTGGAGGACATGCTGGAGAGCGGCAACCCAGCCATCTTCTCCTCTGGGGTAAGCATGGGCTGCAGCTGAGCCAGCCCCATTATCCCAGGGGATGGGCTGGTGGATGTGCTGCCACAGTGGCCATAGTGCTGGAGGGGGCCCTAGGGGCTCGGGTGTGGCCTGAGGATGCTGTTGGGGCAGAGCCTGCATCCTGGCTTTCTGCTGCAGACCACCTGGCTGGAGTTGCTGGAAGGGCTCTGGAGCTCCTTCTCGTCCCTCTGGGACTCGACACGGTGCTCAACGGCCTTGTCTCCTTTGCAGATCATCATGGATTCAAACATCACCAAGCAGGCACTGAATGAGATCGAGACACGGCACAGCGAGATCATCAAACTGGAGAACAGCATCCGAGAGCTGCACGACATGTTCATGGACATGGCCATGCTGGTGGAGAGCCAGGTACGGAGACGCTGCGGCCCAGG